AACTTAACTGCAGCAAACTATAAAAGCAACACTTCACGCTTGTTTTGCCAACACAACGTGGCGTCTCTGCCGTCTAAACACTGTGACAGTAATGAATATTAATGAAGTTGCACAATAGAGCGCGCTGATTGGTTTGAACCAAGCCTTACTCATGCATTAATGCATCACACTGTAAGACGTAATAAGACACACTCTGGCACAGACGCTCAGTCTGCACGCTGGAATACAACGCTATTATGTCATGACCGTGACGCAGCTTCAAAAATTCGTTTCAAACAGGAAGTACGAATTTGCTTGAAATAATGCAAAAACAACCAATTTACACTTTTTAGTGAAATATAGGTGTCCTAATAGTGTTTTTAGCAGTGTGGGACACATATACGACTGTCAACAGCTCAAAAAATGTGTTTTGGTGTTTCGTGACCCTTTAAGTTAGACTTGCGTCAAGCTGCCTAAACTGTTCTGAAATGCAGTTATGCATGGCAGGTACAGCATACAAGTATAATATTAAACAACTATGTATCATACCTTCTGTTCTCTTCTTTTTAAAGAATGAAAATGTTGCATCTGAACTGCTCTCTAAAACATTTTGTAAATCGAGCGAAATGACGCATCAAACTGTATAGATGAATTACCAACAAACGTCACACATGACGTCACACGGGTTCCTGGCTGCAAAAAGAGACAGGTAACAATAGTAAACATGTTGTGTTGTACAGTAGGATGCCAAATTCAAAAATAAAAACAGAAAAAATAACTTTTACCAAACACCACACTGCTTTTAATGCCAACTGCATTCACAATTTTTTAAAGTAATTCATAGCTGTGTAATAAGAGTTCCATCCATGAAAATGGACACACCGTGAACTTCAAACACCAATGTTTCCTAATTCTCTGGTAAACCCTATGTAAAGTTTAAAATCTTAGTGAAAAATAGCCCAATTTGAACAAAACACAGACTGGTACACTGCACATGGCATCATAAATATGGACGCCCCAGTCTGTGTTCGATTGGCCACAATGTTTTCTAGTGAGATTACAGCAATGATAATTTTATTTTCCTGCTATTTTTAAGTTTAACTAAGCTTAAGTATCTATGTGTTATGATAGCCAGTATCTATGAGTTTTATTTTAATAACATGTGCCCACCGAGGTGCACCATGTCTTTACATTCTTTTCTATATGTTGCAAAGCAGACAGATGCTGAATAGCAGTGCCATTGTGCATATATTGTCTACTCATAGAAAATATTGTTTATAATTCTAAAAGACGCGGCGTGAAGTGTGAAGTGTGCTTTAAAAAGCTGTTCTCAGCCAGCCATCTGCCATAGTTGTAAACTGGTTGAAAAAAAAACACATCTTGAGCATGTCTGAATTCAACTGGATTGCTTTGATAGTGTATTTACTAATAAGGCTGCAAGTGTCTGAAAAGCCACAAAAGACCACCTTCTCTAGTTTCTGACCAATCGCATGATGAATGCATGTTGTGAGAAAGTGTGCCATCCACATCCTTTTTATTCACTTGCTTGTACGCTCACTTGTAAGCCACATAGTGTAACATGGAATCGTTCAATCAATAGCTCTTGTGTGCTCCACTGCAGAAAACTGGGGTACCGTAGAGTTTAACAAAATAAGAGAGAAGCGTCTGAGTAGCTATGCTTCCATCCACCTATTTCTTTGCACATTATGGAATATTGTATAAAAAAAAAAACTTAATAGGCACTCGTGTGGATACAACTGAGTAGGATAAAATGCTCTTTATTACTCTGTAAATCGATGGAAAGATGCAATAATTGCAAATCCTTTATGCTAATTTGCTGTATTGGGCATACAGAAACAAAGTTTGAATACCACTTGTACTGTAAGTGAACAGTAGGGCCGTGCGATTTGGGGACAATATCTAACTTTGATTTATTTGACAGATATTGTGATTTCGATTTAATTTTGTAGTCAAACTTCAGCTCAATAATCTGTATCGTAGCTTCTTACTGCTAAAATGCAGTAAGTGTTAGTTAAAAAAAGGAACTGAAAGATATTAACTTAATCAAACATTTATTCAAATGTATTTTTAAATATTCAGAAATGAAACAAACTTTTCTTAGTAAACACACATAAAATGACCTTACCTTTTTGTAAACAAGTTGAATTCAAATTAGGAAGATAGTGTAGCTTATTAGATATATAAAAAAATGTAATTATAATGATTATACAAATACAAAACCCTCAACACACAAACATGGCTGAAACAAGTCTGAAATTGTACTTTACTGTTGCTTGTTACTAAATTGAGTGTCACTGGCAATACTTTCAGTTGACTTGTTAGCAAGACACTCCTCATATGGTGCCTGTGGGGCTTTTTCAGGTGCTGGTTAAAGTATTTACTCATGCTTTTTCATTTCAATTTTTTCGTTGTGGGTGTTCTGCATGGTTCACTCAATTGGCTAGTAAGACTTCACACACATACAGCAGTCGTGCATTTGCTTTGGGCAGGGGAAATTAAATGATACATACAGTTGAAGTCAGAATTATTAGCCCTCCTTTTTTTCTTTTTTAAATATTTCTTAAATGATGTTTAACAGAAAAAGCTATTTTTCACAGTATGTCTGATAATATTTTTCTTCTGGAGAAAGTCTATTTGTTTTATTTTGGCTAGTATAAAAACAGTTTTAAATTTTTTAAGGACAATTTTAACGTCAAAACTATTAGCCCCTGTTTCAAAACGCGATTTCGATTCGAATAATTGCACAGCCCAGCAGGCACATGATATCAAAATGATGTCAGATTGAAGTTGTACCCCAATGTCGAGGAAATTAAATGAACGTTTGTTTGGAAATAAAAAAACGGGTTGATGTCAGAACCCAACGTCAGGCTGACGTCAATGTCCAATATCGCACAGTCTTTGTATTTTGCTTACTTTCCAACGCAACCTAAAAACAACAAACTATCAATGACTTATGATCTACTGGCTTGACGTTGTGTAGATGTTACCAATATGACGTCAATTAGACATTGGATTTTGGTTGCCATACGTGAAAAATAAATACCAATATTTGACGTCAATATGACATTGGTTTAAGATGTTGGCTCAACATTAGACTTTGGTCACTTTCCAACAGACCTAAAATCAACCAAATTTCAACGTCATTTCACTTCATTATTGGACATCAAAATAACATTGTCCTTGGATAATGGTGATCTAAATCTAACTTAATATTAACATGTAATATATTATACCATATATCATATTAACAACTAATAATGCATCTCGGTTGGTCGCTTGTAATCTGATCACAGAAATTGCATGTTAAAACCAGGGTCTAAGTTAAGTTCTTCACAACACTACCCTACAGTTGTACTGTACAATTCAAATGATTTTTTTTTATTAAAATAAACAGGTCACTGCTAATCCCCGGTGCCTCCACTGCTCGTCACACCAGACATTTCTCATCAATAATTTAGACACTCTCTCTCTCTCTCTGCATCAATTTAAATTCCTTGAGCAATGCATTATATCTAGAGGGGAAGGTCTTGAGCCAACGAGAAGACAAACACAAAGCGAGAGAAAGACGTTTGCAAACAAACATAAGCACTCTCTTTTGCATGGCAGGAGAAACCGAGCAGAGAAGCTGACATCTCTAAGCTTCGCTATCTGCACTAAGCTATGAAGCCAAGTACATAACAGACTAATACGCAGGAGAAAGTCATAAAAAGCACCACACCCAGGGCCTTACAACCATCTGACTCAGCCTGCATCCCGTCGGCTGTATTTGTTGAGTGTGTTAGACATGACAAGTCCTACCAATACAAACCGGCAGCAACTACTCTGCAGTTTAGTAGTAATGCTTTGAACATTTCAAGCCACTTTCTTTTTTTTATTCCCTTCTTTTTTATATATTAAGCACAAATCTAAAGGCCGTCTTATCCCTGCTCTGGGCAGTGCTGCAGTTAAAGAAAGAAATGGAAAAATATATTTCTAACCGCCATGCCCCAATAAAACCGTCAGCGCCAAAGCTAATCTGCATGAATATATCACTCTTCAATATTTCAGTCTTGTAAAATAATAAAAGAAAGGAAGGGGGAGGAAATGAGAAAGGATTTAGCACTTATAGCTAAAAAGAAGGCTCTCGTAAGACCTCGTATTACCCCTAAGAAACTCTTGCACTTCTGAGCCGTCCACATTCGGCTTTGTGGTCAAAACTAATGAAGAAACTTGGTCTAATGACAACAGCAGGTAGATTCCCTGAAGAGTTATTCTTTAAGTGACTCTTACATAATAAGACCAATTAAACAGAAATGCAACCTATAGCCTGTAATTGGCGCACTGTGGACTCCAGTGGTGCTCTTTTCAAGAAAATCCATGGCTCTGTTCACACAGATTTAACCATTAACAAAAAGTTAAATATCTTGACCAAACTATTAAATGTGACTTCATAATAGTGTTGTGTAGTCGGAAACATTTCCTGGTTTTTAATGCACAAGCCCTTAACGAGTGAGTTCAAATCAGTATCTCCATATCTCATTCTTTCTTCTCTGCATAACTTTTGGACGTCAATATAGTATTAATTCAAATGAATCTGTAAATTGGTTTGTTCAGACAGAATGATTTGCTTAATTTTATCATGAACTCAGTGACTCAGTGTGAACCACTTGATTTACATAAACAATCTAAAAAGCTTGTACATTTGCTACACTGAATCCCATGGCACTGTACAGAAATATCATATAAAACAGCAAGAAAAGGCTCTAATAAAATATAAACAAAACAAATTCCCAATGTTTACCCATATCTTTTTCAAATGAATCAAAATGCTTCAACTGAATCAGTGAATTGGTTTGTTCACAAAGTCATGTCTGCTTGATGTATATAAAATGGTAAGTCTTAACTAATTCAAGGTGTGCACATACTTATTAATAAATAAAATAATAAATACAAAAAATAATAATAAAAAATACATAGTAGCGTGTAGAGCCAGAGCTAATGAGGGGAAAACATCCACTTACCTAGAACTCCCAGCCTGTAGTTCATGGTGACTACAATGACGTTCCCATAGGCTGCAAGAACACTGGCATCAAACATGTTTCCGGTTCCTTCCATATAAGAGCCACCGTGAATGAACAGCATGACTGGTTTCTTCCTACGGTCTCGGATATCTAAAGAATAGAAACATGAGCAGAAAGAGAATGTTGTGTAAAGTGAGAGCTACAAAAGATATGAGACAACAAGCACACTACAAACATCTTGAACAACTGAATATGATGTTTGAATCCTTTATTTCAATGCAAATAACTGCCCATGTAGCAAAAAAATTCTGGCCCAGATTTGCCATTAAGGCATTTATCCGGCACTGGAATACAGGATTTGGGCCAAACATGGCCCAGGTTTGGCAGAAGTGGCACCGTCTTTAAGGCTTCACACAAGACATGGGCCAGATGTCAGATGTGATATTTGGCCCAGATGTTAAAAAACTGATATGTGGACCATGTAAGTTTGGCCTATCTTGATCCACATTTAAAATACATTAGAATTATTTCTGAGTAAAGAAAAAATGTATCCAACAGGTCGCTTTGAGAATTAACTGGGCTAAGACTTGGCCCAGATATGGTCCATGTTTAGCCCTTTACTTGGTCCAGTCATGTACCCTAATTTATGGTGGCATCTGTAATGCAATGTAATGTGTATTTATATAGCGCATTTATTGTGTATGGCCGTACACCCAAAGCGTTTTACAATCATGAGGGGGTCTCTCCACACCACCACCAGTGTGGCAGCATCCACTTGGATGATGCGACGGCTGCCACAGGACAACGGCGCCAGTGCGCTCACCACACACCAGCTATTGGTGAAGAGGAGAGACAGTGATAGAGCCAATTCGGTGGAAGGGGATGATTGGGACGCCATGATCGTAAGGGCCAATTTTGGCCAGGACACCGGGGTTACACCCCTGCTCTTTCACGAGAAGTGTCATGGGATTTTTAATGACCACAGAGAGTCAGGACCTCGGTTTAACGTCTCATCCGAAAGATGGCGCCCACTGAGAGTTTATTGTCCCCTTAACTTTTACTTGGGCATTAGGACTCACACAGACCACAGGTTGAGCGCCCCCTGCTGGCCTCACTAACACCACTTCCAACAGCAACCTAGTGTTCCCTAGTGGTCTCCCATCCAGGTAGTAACCAGGCTCAGCCCTGCTTAGCTTCAGTGAGTAACCGGTCTTGGGCTGCAGGGTGACATGGCCGAGTCAAGCAAAGGTGATATTTTGGGCCAGAGCTGGGCCAGAAAAATTTTGCTATGTGGATGGTCAGTTGTTCAGATTTTCACTTGTTTTACTAAAATTGTAAAAGGCCAGACTAAAAAAAATGTAAATAAAGGAGTAAAATACAGATATTTGTTTTCATTGTTTAGAACCACCAAGCATTTTTATAAATTGAACAATTCTTAAAGTGTAAGTTCACCCAAAAATCTAAATCTCATGTCGTTCAAAACCTCTGATACATTTGTTCAGCTTCAGAACACAAAGATATTTTAGTTGAAATCAGACAGCTCGGTCATTCTCCATAGACAGTGAGCTTCTCGACTCATTTAAAGTAAAGAAAAATACTAAAAACCATCATCAAAACAAACCATATTCCTTCAGTGGTTCAACTGGAATATTATCAGGCTATTAGAATATTTTTGTGTGTACCTAAAACAAAAATAACTGCTTCATTTAACAGTTTCTTCTGCTGAGCGCCAGAATAAAGCCTCCTACACTACGAGCGACTTGCAGTGGCAAAGTGACAAGAGACCGTTGTCGACCAGGTGTCAAGAGGTGGGACAAAGTTGAGAATCCTTCAACTTTATGCAAATAAAGAGCAACTTTCTTGAGCGACAGCCAATAGGAGCACAAGTAGAGCTCATGTGATTCTCTTTCAGCTCGCTCAGTGACTGGTTTTAATCTCCATGCTGTAGACCTTCACAGATCTGCGTTTGCAGCAGATTGCCACCCAAAGCGACAGGGAGCTACAAAGTCGCTGCTAGTGTGAATGAGACAAAGCACACGTTTATGATGAGCACTGTGCGGTGACATATACGGTTTGTGTTGAGGATGTTTTTGGTATGTTTGGATGTTTTTTGGGAACCTTGCTGTCTATGGAGGATGAGGGAGCACATTTGTGTTCTCAAGACAAATGAAGGTTATAATGATTTGGAATGACATGAGAGTGAATAATAACATAATTTTCATTTTTAGCTGAACTAAGCCTTTAACTTCAATTTCAGTATGAGAGATGAAACTATTACCTAACTTACATAACGTTAAAGTGTTTGTTTTTGATTAGTGACTACTTTTACATGGATATCAGTAATCAAATTATTTGCTTTAATATAGCTAAGAGAATAATAAGACTAATGTGTTTACATGAGTTGCTTTTTGAGTGTTGCTTTCATGATCCCGTTTGACATGTTATAGCACATAATTCAATTACCGTCATCTTCATTTCCTCTGGAGTTTCATGTAATTTCGGGTGTTTCATTTTTAATTTGTTGACTTTAACTGCAGTTTGGCACTTTCACTTAAATTTATGAAAATTTCATGCACACCCTCTGTGACAAACGAGATATTGTATGTAGCTATGAACTCCTGGAAGTGTTGTTTTAATGGAAGTTCATACCGCATGCTGAACGGAAGAAAAAAACCCTCCGCATTTCACGATGTAGGTGCCTGTGGTCTTCACTGACTGGGTAGGTGCAAAGAGTGTCAAACAGCCGTGTGTGTGTGTGGACTATCCTGTCGCAAAACGCTGCGAAACATCCTAGTTTCATTAGGGTGTTTACATACTTAACCTATACTGCACTTCAATAATGCGACTAAAATCGGCATACTCCACACATCTTAATTCCATTTCTCTTTAGTTTGATTATGACCTTAATCTGATTAAATTATCAAAAATCACTGTTGACATGGTAGACTCTTAATAAGAGTACTGTCTTAATCGCATTAAAATCGAACTATTGGTGTCCATGTAAACGTGGTCAATGATAAAAGCTGGTTATTGTCACTATGAGATTTTTTTTAAATTTACTTTCACTTTATACTTTAGGAACTTAATTTTAAAGCTGGAAACTTCGTTTAAAAAAAGGTATTTTGATGTTATTCGATTTATCCAATCCACTAAACCAAAAAAAAAAAAAAGTTAAAGAAATATCTGATTATCTGTGTGATTTTCTACCTAAGTACTTTATTTGGTTTATTATTATGTGTGTATGTATGTACGTGTATGCATGTATGTATGTGTATGTACATACGTGTATATGTATGGGTGGGTATATGTACATATACACTAAACGGCCACTTTATCTGGAACACCTGTCCAACTGTTCATTGACAAATTTCTAATCAGCCAATCACCTGGCAGCGACTCGATGCATTTTGGCATATAGACATGGTCCATAATATCACAAAAAATAATACACATATACATACATACACTCACCAGCCACTTTATTAGGTACACCTTACTAGTACCCGGTTGGACCCTCTTTTGCCTTCAGAACTGCCTTAATCCTCCGTGGCATAGATTCAACAAGGTCCATATTGACATGATAGCATCACGTACTGTAGTTGCTGAAAATTTGTCGGCTGAACATCCATGATGAGGATCTCCTCTCCCATTTAACCACATCCCAAAAGTGCTCTTTTGGATTTAGATCAGCTGAATATGGAGGCCATTTGAGTACAGTGATCTCATTGTCATGTTCAAGAAACCAGTCTGGTATGATTTGTGCTTTATGACATGGCGCTTTATCCTGCTGCAAGTTGCCATCAGAAGATGAGTACACTATGGTCATAAAGGGATGGTCAGAGACAATAATCAGGTAGGCTGTGGCATTGACATGATGCTCAATTAGTACTAATTGGTCAAGGTGTGCAAAAAAAAATCTCTCACATCTTTACACCGCCACCAGTAGCCTGAACCATTTATACAAGGCTTGATGAATCCATGCTTTCATGTTGTTGAGGCCAAATTCTGACCCTACTATCAGAATGTCGCAGCAGAAATTAAGACTCATCAGACCAGGCAACCTTTCTCAAATAAATTTTCTTCTATTGTTTGGTGAGCCTGTGTGAATTGTTGCCTCTGCTGCAGTTCAAAAAGAGTATAGGAATGGGGAAGAAAGGTGATTTAAGTAACTTTGAACGCATTGTTGGTTCCAGACGTGCTGGTCTGAGTATTTCCGAAACTGCTGATCTACTGGGATTTTCACACACACAATCATCTCTACAGAGAATGGTCTGAAAAAGAGAAAATATCCAGTGAGCGGAAGTTCTGTGGGCACAAATGCCTTGTTGATGCCAGAGGTCAGAGGAGAATGGCAATACTAGTTTGAGCTGATAGAAAGGCAACATAGCCACTCGTTACAACCAAGGAATGCAGAAGAGCATCTCTGAACGCACAAAACTTTGAACCTTGAGGCAGATGGGCTACAGCAGCAGAAGACCACACCGGGTGCCAATCCTGTTAGCTAAAAACAGGAAACTGAGGCTACAATTCGCACAGGCTCACCAAACAATAGAAGATTTGAAAAAGGTTGCCTGGTCTGATGAGTCTTATTTTCTGCTGCGACATTCAGATGGTAGGGTCAGAATTTGGCCTCAACAACATGAAAGCATGGATTCATCAAGCCTTGTATGAATGGTTCAGGCTACTGGTGGCGGTGTAATGGTGTGAGAGATTTTTTCTTTGCACACCTTGACCCATTAGTACTAATTGCGCATCATGTCAATGCCACAGCCTACCTGATTATTGTCTCTGACCATCCCTTTATGACCATAGTGTACTCATCTTCTGATGGCAACTTGCAGCAGGATAAAGCGCCATGTCATAAAGCGCGAATCATACCAGACTGGTTTCTTGAACATGACAATGAGATCACTGTACTCAAATGGCCTCCATATTCAGCAGATCTAAATCCAAAAGAGCACTTTTGGGATGTGGTTAAATGGGAGAGGAGATCGCCATCATGGATGTTCAGCCGACAAATTTTCAGCAACTACAGTACGTGATGCTATCATGTCAATATGGACCTTGTTGAATCTATGCCACGGAGGATTAAGGCAGTTCTGAAGGCAAAAGAGGGTCCAACCGGGTACTAGTAAGGTGTACCTAATAAA